TCTTCACTTCTCCTTAGGGATGAAGATTTGAATAAAGTATGATACCTATGGGGCATAAAGGCAGAGCACAAGAAATGAGAGAAGAGCAGCCACAGGTTTTGGAATCAGTAGACATGAGATTGATTCCTAACTGCACATTTGATGTAGAAAGTCAAAGAGCACGTATCCTTCATAAGATTAATGAGTGTCAATCACAGGCATCACCTGTAATGGTTCCAGGAACTCTACTTCCCTCATTCTTTCTGGAAGATTATGAGAAGTGTTTTCAGCATGCATGTATGTATGTATGTATGTATGTATGTATGTATGATGCATGTGTTGTCTTAAAGACCCAGTGAAAACAAAATAATCCTTTTATGTGGGGCTACATTTTCTTTCTTGCTACATAAGAACCCTTACTTTCTCGAGGAAGTTTGAACTAGAATGTAATGTTTTATACTGGAAGAGTAGAGGCAAACTTCCTTGTTGTGTCAGTAGAGAAAACAAAGAAGGGTCAGATCTAAGAAAGTTTGTGGTGTCAAAAACACAGGCCTTTATAAAAAGAAGCAAATACAAAAATAGAATGTATAGATAGCTGGTTGGAGAGAGGGATGGATGGACAGATGGACAGATGGATGACTGACAGACGTTACCTTATGATTCTGACCAACAAAAGAAAACATCTACCTAAGAACTACCCTGAAATGTAAGTCACAGAAAATGTAACATTCTCTCTACGTACACAGGTTCACAAAGTGGAAAAGTGGCTGAGGAAGAGACAGTACCAGTAATGCAACTATCACCCTTCTCCCAAAAAGTATCCAGTTCTTTTGTCAGCACTGGTTATAGAATCTGGTAATTTAGCTAGCAACGGAACTTCTAAAATTTCATATGAAATTATATAGAGCTTAAACAATATTTTAGATAAATGCCACTTTGTTTTTATGGTAAAGAAAATGTGCCTGGTTTCCAGTATAGCCACTTTCCATGCTCTCTACCCTTTCTGTGCTCTATCTGAAACATGAGCATCTTTTACACAGGAGGATGAGAAACGGGTGGGCAGCATCCCATTGCTGAATAGAAGAAATGATCACTCATAAGGTGAAACTTTAATATTCTGGATATACCAGCTGCAAGGCCTGCCCACACAGCCCATATAACCAAGAGACAATGGCACTTCTATGTTCTTCTCGTTCCGACACTCATGAAAGGAACCCAGTCGGCACATAACGAAAATTTGGCTTCCTATTCATATTTTTTACTTTCTTTTCCTCGTTTTCCTTTGCACTTCTGAATCTTCTCCGTTTTCCTCTCCATGTTTCCCTTGTTGTTCTTCTCTCCTGCCTTTCTTGTTCCTATTTTTTAAAAAATTCCTTTAGTCACCTGCCAAATTTCACCATAAGAATGAGTATTCATTCCTCTGTCCCATATCACAGATCTGTCAGATTTTTAAAATGAGCTCCTCAGCTCTGATTCCCACAAGTGGCAGAGTCAACTTTTTTCTTGTAGGAAAAGTTGTCAAGCGGCCCACAGATTGTCACCATCTGAGACAAGCTTCAATCAATGAACAAGTCACCTAGCTACATCAAGGGTTAGCTTCTCAAGGGGTTTCTGAGTGAATTATGAGAAGGAAACCTCGAAAGCTGAGCCTTTGCCCTTTAAAATCCTGAATAACACGTGATGTTTTCCCGTGAACTGAATGGAAATTTACAAGCCTGAAGATGCTCAATTTAAAAAGAACAATGACTAATGAAAGAAACACAGGAAGGATCATCTTGCTACAGAACCGTAACAATGCGCCCTTTTGAGCTTTTCTGGTTCTGAGACTCTGTTGCCCCATGTAACATGCACAGTGATGGGAGCAGTCACCAGTCCTTTCTGTGGCAATTGAATATTGCCTCCAAGCAGTATTTTCCAATTACTTAAGGAAACGTGAAGGAGTAATGTCAAAAGAGAAACTGGAGACACAACTAGAAAACAGAGTTCATGGCTCAAGAGAGCCAAAGAATTTGATTGCAGGATTCAGTCAGGAGGAAAATGGTTGGACTGAAACAAATGAAAAGTTGTGAAATCCTCTGGTGGTGTAGGTGGCATTTGACCCTGTTTAAACATCAACCCAGTGAATGGTGTAACTAAAAGATTGTGACTTGAGCAAATGCCATACACATACTGGAACTCATTGTTTTTCAAAGAGATCCATTCTAATAGCATGAGAGTAAGATACACATACACAGTGTAATCTTACACAATATTCATCTCAAATTTAGCATGTACCAAATGGAATTCCTGATCTCCCTCAGCCTTTACCCCCATACTGGGTAGTTTTTGCTTTCCATTTCTGTATACGTGTTTCCTCTTGCACTACGAGTAGAGTCCTTTAGCAACCCTGCAAGCCCTGTTATGAACAGACTTCTGCTTCCCTGGCATCTGGGACCCCATCACTTCTATACTCCCGCCTTCCCAATCCACACCGACATCTCTTATTTAGCTTATTAAACTTCATTATTTCTTATTCTTTCTCTTCCTTGGTTCTTTTTCTTTTGTTGCAAATGGATTGGGTTCAAACAGTATGTTCTGATTATGATTTCCCCTCTCCCAGCTCCTCTGAGTTCCTCTCCACCTCCTCTCCCATCTGTATCCACGCACTTTCTGTCTCCCCTTAGGAAACAGGCATCTAAAGAATAATAGTAAAATAAGATAAAACAAAAAAAAACAGCCATAATAGGATAAAACAAACAGAACAAAAAGAGTCAAAGAAAATGCACACACATTAAAACAAACAAAACCACAGGCAGAAGCAGAGATACACACAGGGCTTCCATAAAAACACAAAACTGGAAGCCATTACATATATGCAAACGACCTGTAAGGTAAAAATAAAAAAATAAGTAAAACGTTATGACATTCTAACAAAGAGCCTCCAAAGATGGCACTGAGCTCATTTGATGCTGGCTATCTACTGCTACACATGGGGTCTGCCTTTAAGGGTGGATTATACGCCCAGTGAGACTTCCCTGAAGAAAAATATCTTTCATTTGCAAGTGGCTATCCACTGGAAACAGATTCTTATTTAGGGATGGAGGCTTGTGTCCACTTCACCCCTCAACACTGGGACCCTATCTGGTTTAAACCCATGCAGGTCCCTCTGATCTCATCTGTGCATTGGTTACACTGTGTTTAGAAGCCTTCTTTGCTTGATGCCTTCCATCCTCTCTGTCTCCCGTGCTCTTTTTGCCTACCTAAGGGAGGGATTTGCAGGAGGGATTTAGTAGCTGAGTGTTCCAAGGTCTCTTACTCTCCACATGTTGTCTGACTGTGAGCCTCTGTATTTGTTCTCATCTGCTGCCGGAAGAAGCTTCTCTGAGCAAGACACTAATCTATGTGTTGAGTACAGCAGAATGTCATTAGGACTCATTGTTTAACAGAACAGTAACATTTGTTTTATTTTTATATCTGTGGTCTATCCAGCTGCAGATTCTTGGCTACCGTAGCAGTGTCCAGAATGGGTTTCATCTCATGGAGTGGGTCTTAAATTCAGTCAGGTATTGGTTGGACTCCCACAAGCTTTGTGAAACTATTGAACAAGTGTATCATGCAGGTCGGACATGACTGTAGATCAAAGAGTTTGTCACTGGGTTGGTGTTTACCTTTCTCCTTTGCTAATGAGCAGAGAACCTCCAATACCAAGGACACTAGTCAGCATGGATGAATGCTCTAGGTGTGCACCAGCTTGACTTCTCTGTGTTCAACGAGTTGTGTAGGTGTTGTCTTCAGCTATCCAAGCCTTACCATTGATGCGTGGAGAGCAACCAATAGCTCTGGGATTTCCCAGGTTGTTTGGGAGTTCAGTCATTGATAAGCAAGCTATAAGAACTTTATAGCTTGGAGTCCCTTTGGCCAGGAACTCAACTAGATATAACCCATTCCTGGTACTGGAAGATTCATTTGATGACAAGAGACATCCACTTGGGGATGTCTCCCCCATTATTTCGCAGCTTTATTTAGGTCACATTCATATATGTATGTATTTCAGGAAACTTCTACTATATTAGGTTATTGTATGTCCCCTCAAATAGCTCTTAGGTTAGCTGTTCCTCCCCATATTCCCATCCTTTACCCTCTCCTCTCTCACTCTCCCCATTTGGTTGTCCTGTTCGAGTCTCCCCAACTTATCCATCCGTAACTATTTGTTCTATTTACCCTTCCTAGGGAGAAACATCTCCCTCCACACCAGTTCCTTACTGTATACCTGTCCTCTGTGTTATCATGCACTTAATAGCTAAAATCCACATATAAATGAATCATACAATATTTTTCATACAGGGTCTGGGTTGTCTCACTCAAGATGAATTTTTTTCAAGACACATCCATTTAGCTGAGAATTTTATGATGTCATATTTTTAGTGACTGGGTAACAATACATTGTGTAAATGTACCACATTTTCTTTATTCTTGTGTTGAAGGACATCTAGGCTGTTTCCAGTTTCTGGCTACTATGAAAGGAGCAGCACTGAACATGGTTGAGCATCCTTGGTGTATATGCCCAAGAGTGGTACAGCTGGGTTTTGAGGAAGATGGATTCCAATCTTTCTGAGGAACCACCACACTGATTTCCAAAGTGGATGTGCAAATTTGCACTCCCTCCAGCAATGGAGGCATGTTCTCCCTTTTCCATATCTTCACCAGCATTGAACTGTCATTTGTTTTCATTGATCTTAAGCATCCTAACTGGTGTAAGATAAAATATCAAAGTAGTTTTGATTTGCATTTTCCTGATGAATATGGATGTTGAACATTTTAAGTGTTTCTCAGCCATTTGAACTTACTCTTTTGAGAACTCCGTTTAGACATGTACCCCATTTTTTTGCATTTTTTAGTTTTTTACATTCCAATCCCAGTTCCCACTCCCACTCCCTCCACGTCCCCCTCTGCCCATCTGCTGCATGGAGAGGGTAAGGCCTCCCCTAGAAAGTCTACTAAGTCTGTCCCATGATGTAATTGAGGCAGGACCAAAGCACCTCTCCTGTACCCCATTTTAATTGGGTTATTTGTTTTCTCAACATTCAAGTTGGTTTTTTTAGGTTCTTTATGCATTTTAGATATTAGCCATTTATCAAATGTATAGTTGATAAAAACAAAAAAAAACTTTTTCCATTCCATTCTGAAGGCTGCTGTCTTGTCCAAATGCCAGTGTCCTTTATCTAAATGGTGGTGTCCTTTGCTGTGTAGAAGCCTCTCAGTTTGATGAGGTCCCATTTATTAACTGTTGATCTTAGTGCCCGTGGCTGGCGTACCGCAAGTTCCTCTCACTGAATTCTCTTGGCTTACTTTGAATGTCCAAATCAAGTTTCAAAACAGAAACCCAAGACGACCATTAAATCTTGTGAGATCATGCCTCTATTTGGCTCAAAACACTTCAGTGGGTCCCCATATATCTGAGAGTAAAATCAAAATGTTCCTATTTCTGTGCTCTGTTTTTAACCTCATCCAGCTTCCTCTCCCCAGCCCATGCAGCTCATCTCACTGGCATCCTCCACCCCACATGCATTCCAGTTCAGATGCTATGCTGGGAGCCTTCCCCTGCTGCTCCCACTGGTGTATGCCTCACTAAGTGCCCACTTTCCTTCACTAGGTCTTTGCTGGAGTTCATCTCCTTGGGTATCCAATGGCCACCATAACATTTTTCAGTCTCCTTTGGAACTTTTATACATTCCATTTCACCATTCTTCTTAGCACTCAGCAGCATCGAACACACTAGACATTTCGCTGTCCCATTACTCTCTGCCTTTTCCATTCTACAAGGTCAACTCCATGACAACGACGGCTTTTGTTCCCCATACCTAGAATAATCCCAAGCATCTAGTAGGCACACAAATGTTTGAGTAAATGAAGCAAATACTTGTATGAAAAACAAGTGGCTCCCTGTTCTTTATTTCCTGGGGGTTCATCGGGCACTGTTCTTACCCACCGTAATCTTTCATTACAGATATTTACATATTTGAATGGCAAATGGAGACAGACAGGAAGGGAAATAATCTCACGCTTAATCTTTCCATCTCCAGACCTGCCATTCTTCCAAAAGAAATGGCACGGTAAGGAGGGTTTGAATCAGATTACCTCTATATAGGTTCATGGTCGTTGATACTCAATCAAGGCAGCATGGTGACTTAAGAATACAGGTCGACCATTTGTCATTCTTTTTGGTTTTTGTGAAACTGGGGTTCAGTGTGTAGCCCTCGATAATCAGGTATGTTCAGCAGGCCTCCTGCTGATGCTCCTGAACAGTCCTTAATGCCCTTCTGAGTGCCCAGACCCAGGGGGTCCTCGGCTACAACACAGCCGGCAGCTCCTCAGTGCCACACAAAAGAAAGCAACCAAAGAAATCGCATCTACTGGTTCTCTATGGAACATTGCCCAGGTGAGTGATATATGCTGCCTATCTCCTATGTTTAGTGAGTGACATAATCTCAGCATCTAGAAGTGGCAAGTAGCAAGAGGCTCAAAATTAGGGCCTGGTCTGCACCGAGAGGGAGAGGGAACATTGTACGGATCTGTGCAGGATGCTCAGCCATCGGGGGAGTAATTGGACTTTGGCCCTTTTCTTATTGGCACTACCTCAGCTTCTGTGCTGAAGGATTCGGAGAAAAGGTTTGTTGTTGCAGCCTCACAAATGCATTTGAGGGCAGCTTTTTGAACAGAGTGCATGTAGGGACAAATGACAGGAATGGTAGAAGTCCTATTGGTATGCTCCTTCTGTTCCTGGGCCTCAGGCTGTGTCAGGGTTCTTTGACAGAAGTCTAATGAAAAACGATATTAGGAAATGTGAAGTGGAAATTCTGACTGCCAGAAAATATGATTTTCGCTTGCAGATACTAACAGGAAGCAGCCAGGGAGGCTGTGGAAGTTTCTACAGAGCCACTAATGGGTGGCAGGATTATTTTCAAATTGCGAGTTAGACCCTAATCAGTACTAAAGACCCAATTTGTGCCAAATATGACAACCGAAAACATTAGCCTACCCTGAAGAAGTCCTGCTGCCAATCTGTACAAATGTAATGAGGACTATAAATCTCAAATAAACACGTGCACAAGTCAATGGATAACGCTGCCTTTTGAATATGTCTAAACCATCTCATCTTCTATTTCTAGCTCCCTGGAGGGTAAGAGGACCTTTCAGGATGAGAACTGGCTGGGAATGTCTGTCTGCAATTCATCATGACCTGGAGGAACGGAACAAAAGAGCAGAGTTATTTCTGGGATACTATTGTACTTAGCTTATTTCTAAGACAACCTTAATTAAAATAACAGTTTTGAATAGCCCCTCCAGTGAATCTAACGATTGGATGCCTATTTGAAACTATGCCACACAACCTCATTCTGTCTGAATCACAGCCATGTACTCACAGAGCTACAAAGCACACATTCCATTTCATAGGCTTCCAATGACCAACATCCTCAGCACACACACACAAAACATCAAACTCACAGGATACAGCAACAAGACACAACATGTGTACAATACATTCATCTATCATAGATAAATGCATATAAATATATGTACCATACACACATGTATACATCATGCATACCAAATACAGCACACACAGATACATAGCACTTACAAACACACGTCAAACAACACACACATACACACACATATACACAACACACACAAATTTATCAACTTACATATTCATATTACCCAAAGTGTATGCCAAAATGCAAATATTGTTACAGATATAATATTCATATAACACAAACTGTATACACAATGTACATAGAAACAACTTCACATCCCTTAGAAGTACATATCCCACACTTATACCATACCCACAAGCATTAGGTACCATACAAATTCACTATGGGTACGTATGTATGTATGTATGTATGTATGTATGTATGTATATGTGTGTCTACATATAAACCACATAAAACATACCTATGTGAACATAATAACCACCATTCACAGACAAACTCACATGCTACACAAATAGGTATGCACATATATAAGATGTACATGTGTACCTCCAAAATACATACAATATATATCACATGTACATATCTACCATGTAATATTACACACGTCACATTTACATTAACTTTCTTCTAACAAAAATTCTGACATATTTTGCTTTCATCATCACTGTCCCCATGTATCTTAGGAATGAATTAAGGGAAGAAAGAAATATTATGGCTCCTGGTTTCAGAGTTAGCAGTCCGTGGGTGCTGAGTGCTGTGGGTGACAGACTAGGGCAGTTTGCGTCATGGCAGCTAGTTTAGAAGTTCCTTCAGCTTGAATATCATCAGTTTCACTTCCAGAACTTCATTCAGTCCACGCCAGCAGACCATCACACATGTGGGTTGTGTTTCAGAAATCCGATAGGTTATCTATCGTTTTCTGTTGCAAAAACATACAAGCAACTACCAGACTGATAAGTGGCTCATTGACTCACGTGTTTCCCTAGAACAACACCAGCAGAAAAATTTGAGCAAAGCAGTTTGCCTCTGTAGATATTAGGGCTCGCAGGTTTTCTTAAATAGCTGATAGGGCAAACACTTCATAATCCTTAATAAATAATTGATTTTTTCAAACACTCATAGCATTCCCTGGTTTTCACAATCCTCCCTGTAAAATTCAAGACAAAATCCAATTACTGCAGGCTCTGGCTTTGGGCACTCTTCAGCTTTGTCGAGCAGCAGGAAAAACTGTATCTACGATCTGTGATGGCCTGTTCTTGAGCTAGCCATGAGTGTAAGTGACATACAATGATGCTACAAATAAAGACTTCTTGCTCCACTTAGCAGCGCCTCTTGATGGGACAGCAACATCTTTACACTGACCACAGCAGAGATACTGTAATTCCTAAGACTATGTGAAAGATGGGCTGATCACTATGGCTACCGAAGGAAATGCTTGCCCCAAATATACACTACAGGGAGTCCGTGTGTGTGGCAGTTCATTGTAATCATTCTGGAGCCAAGTTGCCAGGAGGACAACAAATTTAGCACTCTTATTAAGCTTGTTTTTCAGTTATCCTCAAGCAAGTTTCTTAATGCCTCCACAGCCACCATTTTTTAATATGAAATTGAAAGACTAAAATAGCCTAGTTCTTGAGATTGTAAAGGAAATTAAATTAGACAAAAACGCTCTCAACAATGGCCACCCAAAAGGTATCCAGTCATAGGCTGCAGTGCAATTAATAAGAAAGAAGCCTCCAAGATTTAGATGTCCTCTTTAGGACAAGAAGATGGAAGTGTGTGAGATGAACTCCTGCTGGGCCAGCTGATCTCCTGGCCTTCCTGGAAGTCTTCTCACTGACCCTGCTTCCTGGGAGTTCCCAGCCCAGCTGTGCTTCTGCAGAGATCCAAAAGCTAGAACCAAGAAAGGTGGTTTACCATAGTAATCTTTGAAAGCATTCTCTCTCTCTCTCCCTCCCTCTCTCTCTCTCTCTCTCTCTCTCTCTCTCTCTCTCTCTCTCTCTCACACACACACACACACAGGAAGTGTCAAACATGAATATTATCCAAAGATGGAACCACCCCAAAAAGTACCTTTGTCTAGCCTACTACTATATTGTACATGTTCTTTTGTTTTTGTTTTTGTTCTTCAAGACAGGGTTTCTCTGTGCAGCCCTGACTGTCCAGGGACTCGCTTGTAGACCAGGCTGGCCTCCAACTCAGAGATTCTCCTGCCTCTGCCTCCTGAGTTCTGGGATTAAAGGTGTGCACTGCCACCACCTGGATGTATTGTACATATTCTAAGAGTCTTTCCTAGTTACCCTATGAATCTTTATCCTACCTAAAGGCCAGGATTCTTTCTATCGTAAAGGATTCAGTCTATTTGGAGACATGTTACATCACAATGACATGGGAAAAACATCAAATAGATCGGGTTTGGGGGTGTGTATATGTATATTCATGTAAGGTGGGCAGTACACACATGTGCTTGTGAATGTGCCATCCTGAATACTATCTTGAAGCTGTACATCAGGTGCCCTCCACCTTTTTTTTTTTTTTGAGGCAGGATAGCTCATTATCACATCATTCACCAAGTAGGCCAGGCTGGTTGGCCAGTGGCTTTTAGAGACCTACCTGCTTCTGCTTCCTCAGTTCCAGCATCTTTGAAGAGGACTGGCTAGTTTTGAGCTAACAAGTTTCTAAGATGAAAAACATCACAGTTCGAATGACCAGAACATTTAAAAACACTCAAATCCCAGGTTCCCTCAGGTCAAGAGAACCATGCGCTCCTATATCCAGGTTTTTTGTTTTTGTTTTTTTTAAACAGTGGTTCTGAGTATTGGCAATTCGAGGTAAGACCTTTACCAACTAAGCCAGGGGTTCCCAAGCTTCTTAATGCTATGACCCTTTAATACAGTTCCTCATGTTGTGCTGAGAGTCAGAATATTCAAGGATGTTGGGAAGGGAAGTGATTGGTTCAGCAAGTGAGGGTGGACAAGGCTACCTAGACTCAAATTTAATGTACTGTTGTTCTTTTTCATGAGTCTTTTATCTGACCCTGAGGGACAAATCCTCTGAATAAAACAATCTGCCCACTAAAGAGCAGAATTGTCTTTAGAAGAAAGGTAAGAGTTTTCAAAAGTCATGGTAGTACATCACCTCCTTTCCCTTCTTCCAATACAGTGGGCCTCAACCTTCCTGATGCTACAGCCCTTTGATACAATTTCTCCAGTTTTGGTGACTTCCAACCATAAAATTTTTCATTGCTACTTCATAACTGTAATTTTGCTACCATTATGAATCATAATGTAGCCGGGCATCGGTGGCACACGCCTTTAATCCCAGCACTCGGGAGGCAGAGGCAGGCGGATCTCTGTGAGTTCGAGGCCAGCGTGGTCTACAGAAAGAGTTCCAGGACAGCCTCCAAAACAAGACAGAGAAACCCTGTCTCAGAAAACCAAAAAAAAAAAATCATAATGTAAATGTCTGTGTTTTCTAATGGTCTTACGTGACCACTGTGAAAGAGTCAGGCCCAGCAGGTTAAGAACTGTTGCTCTAGTAGAAAGGAATCCATATTTCTATGGTATGGAAGTACAAGCCTGGTGAGACTTCAGAAAGGGAATGGAGAGAATGTCTCCAGGGAGACCATTTGAGCTGCAATGCTTTCATATCTTAGAAGACTGGTCAGTTCCAAAGTAGTCAGTGCCCCTCTCCATATTCTCAGGTAAATAAGGTAAGTCCATGTCCACCCACTGAAAAAAAACATTAAAGAATGTCATGGTGTAGGAAGGAGAAATTAGACTCATCTGTGGTCATGGAACCCATGTCATTGGTCAATAAGATTGCTGAAAGCCAGGAAGGTAAACTCACCTACGGAAGTGATGAGAGTCATTGTTTTCATTGTTTGACTTTCCATTGTCATTTGTTTTGATCTTAGGTTGCCTCTCCTCTCATTTTCTTTCTTGATACAGTCTCTCCCTGTCAACACAAAGACTGAAAAAAATTATTCATTTCATGCAAGAACAGTACACTCCCCTGCCTTTGTCTTTCTCTGCAAATTAGTGGCTCATGTTCCATTAACTAGAATGTTTTACCTTTATCTCCCTCCTATAGGTGAAGTGGGAATTTCAATGCCATTATTCTGTCCAATTCATCCTAAATAGATTCTGTTCTCATGGCACCCTTTATCTCTAGACTTCACTAAAGATAGCATTCAGCTTCACCTTCAGGCACACAATCACCCTTTCTTCATTGCTGAAGTCTTTAGAAATGTAATGACGTGTGACAAGTTTTTGACTACAGCTCCAAAAATGGCCTTTTTGTGGCCAAATGGATTGCTTGCCATTTTAGAAGCCAGTCTCTGTGTTATTTTATAATTTACTTTACAGACAAACCTGGGGGAAATACAGGTTTCCTAAACAGACAATACATGTTCTTTGTTCCAAAACTGTCTTACACAGATTGCTTACTTTTTCTAATATTATTTAAAACACAAGTTCTAAAAATTCTGTGTAACCATAAGTAGAAGTCCCCCTGTAAAGGAAGACCAGTGAGGGTGCATACAAACAATGCAGGCTAATGTTGTGACTTTTTACTGTGCCCAACTGACTTATAGAAGAAAATTTATAGAGATGTTCTTCTAGGATATTTCAGTTCCTCTGGTTAAAATATTCAAGAATGTCATTGGTTATGATTTGTTAGAGCCTGTACTATTTACACCAATAGTTGAGAAGTTTACTATCCAGGTCAGTTTCTTATTTTAAAAATAACTCTACTCCTAAAGAAGTCAATTTATTTTTCAAAGAACATATAGGTGGTAGCTGACCAAAATTAATTCAAGCCATTTGAGTTCCACTTCAGTACACGTTTCATTAACTTGTATGATTATCCAAATGCATATGTAACGTAAACTATGTCCCAATGAGACTCCTCTGTTCCAATAAGTAAAAGAGTTCTCTATATATTGATATACTAGGTCAGTTATTGTACCATGTACAGGAGTACTCTAAAAATTCATTGACCACTATATCTCTTCTCAGACCATACCCTGATAAACACCAAGCCCAGAACAATTTACCTAGGAGTGATATAAAGAAAATGCAATTTCCAAGGCACTTGTGTAAAAGATGGACATTTTTGAACATGTCTTTCAGATACCACATGGACTAGACGACAACTGATGTCTCTTTCAGAACCAAGACCCTGTCATTCTCTCACCAGCTCAAGAAATTGAAGAGACAACCTCACTCACCCTTCTAAGAGCTTCACTTCTTGCAAGGGATGGACATAGTGGGGTCCATCCACAAAGCAATATGAAAATAGTGCATCCTGATTTCAAAACCTCTGAGAAGCCAGTATCTTCTCTGTACAAGCTTCCAATGAATTTGAGGCATTAAATCTATACATGACCACTCTTTGATTACAGTGAGATGCAGATTTATGGCTAAGTACTTTTTTGTTTGTTTGTTTGAGACTGGGTTCCTCTGTGGCTTTGAAGGCTGTCCTGGAACTAGCTCTTGTAGACCAGGCTAATCTTGAACTCACAGAGATCCTCCTGCCTCTGCCTCCCGAGTGCTGAGATTAAAGTTGTGCGCCACTAATGCCTGGCTTATGACTAAGTACTTAGTAAGCATGTGAGCCAGAAGTACTGTGTTTGGCCTCTAGATTTAACCCAGAACTAGGAGTGTGCCCCATTGTCCAGGGGAAAGGTGCTGTAATCGCCTGGATACAGGACACCCATGGTGTAATGGTTAAATAGGACTGGGGTAGTATCCCATTTACACTGTTTGCTCTTGACAAGTACCTTAGAGAAAAATAATCTCTCACTTTCTTTAAACCATGCATAGTGAGCCGGGTGTTGGTGGTGCACACCTTTAATCCCAGCACTCGGGAGGCAGAGGCAGGTGGATCTTTGTGAGTTCGAGGCCAGCCTGGTCTACAAAGTGAGTTCCAGGACAGCCTCCAAAGCCACAGAGAAACCCTGTCTCCAAAAACAAAAACAAAAACAAAAAAAATGCATAGTGGACCCATGTTTTAACAGGTGAGATGTTTTCCACAGTGGCACAGCCACCAGTGAGAGCTGCATGGTAGAAAAAGGAGGAAGTCACATGGGATCTGCAGCACCAGACTCTAACCGGCATTCCTTAGCCCACAGCGTTCTCGGGCTTTTTGACAGACAAAAAGATTCTAACTGAGATGCCTTGTTTCATAATTCATCAAATTTGCTACTAAAGTCATGGTGTTTTAAACTTAATATATGCTGTAAAATAATAAATGATACAATGAATCATCAGAATTAATAATATATAGAATCAAATATTTTTGAAATTCAACTAAATTATCCCATATATCAAAAAACATGGTGTTTTAGGTTAAAACCCGGAAGTCTGTTTTGGAATATTAATTTAAGATACATTACATTCATTTATGCTGTGGAATATTTTTTAATGATGCGAAGGTGTGTTGCATACTTTTCTGTTGATTTGTTTAACTCTGTAAAGCTGTGTTTCTTTGCCTGTATAAAACACCTGGTTTGTCTAATAAAGAGCTGAATTGTCAATAACTAGGCAGGAGAGAGAAATGGGTTGGGTTTGTAGGTAGAGAGAATAAATAGGAGAAATCTAGAGAAGAGTGAGGAGTGAGAAAAGGAAGAGAAGAGGACACGAGGGGCCAGGAACCCAGGAATACAGCCAGCAATGGAGTAAGAAGGAAAGAAAGATATATAGAATTAAAAAAGGTAAAAAACCCAGAGGCAAAACATAAAGAGAAATGGGATAATTTAATTTAGAAAAAGTGGCTATAAACAAGCCAAGCTAAGGTTGGGCATTCATAAGTAAGAATAAGTCTCCATGTATTTATTTGGAAGCTGGGTGGTGGGCCCCTGAAGAGAAAAAGAAAGACTACAGAAGTCTCCAGTAGCAAAGGAATAAGCATTGATTGTAATTATTTTGTAATAAAAACAATCTCATAGCATTTATTGTCACCTGATAATAACATAAGAGCCACTAAAACAACATGAATAAAGGTTTCTAACTGTGCTCCCAACAGAAGAAATCTTTTAAAACACTGTACTTCCTCTTCAACTTCTTGAGTACTTGAGTTTCTCATTGGAAACACTTTGGAGCAGAGTAGTATTGTCCCCTTTCCTTGTGATCCAACCTAGTTATTTCCTTGACTTTGTTTTAGGGTGAATCTCTCCTGCATCATCTAATATGAAGCTCATGGACTCATCAAAGCTAACAATGCAACCTCCATCTGCATATTTACTTGCAAATATAACCACACCTGAATTTGCAGTTATCTGAAGATGAGATTGATGGGCTGTACCATCACCTTCTCCACCTTCTGGCCCTGGCCATGGTATGCCATGGTAGAAGACCACACGAGTAGGCCATTGGTTGTGATTTTCCAGATTGTCTTTAGAATGTTCAAGCTGACAATCTGAATGAATTCTCAAGAATGCAAAGTCACATACCTCCAGCAGTATCCTACTGAATTTTATTTTCCAAACTTTTCACTTTACTAGTCAGTTTACTATAAAATCTTTCCTTCAACACTGGCCCATGCCGTAGTCCCCATGGGAATATGTAAAGCCAACATTTGATATCCTACTAACTTCTAGTTTGAAACTAAAGAATAAACCACATTTTGGTCAAAACAATTACAGCAGATATTGCAGACTAAGGCATTCAACAACCAATGTAATCTCTTACTGTGATGCCTTCCTACAGAGTACAGGCTGGAAATCTAACTCTCACTTTCCACCAAAGGATTCTACATGGGATCAGGGTTCTTGTAAGCCCTCTAAAATTCTCTAAGCTCCTAGAGACCTTATAGCATTTATCTTATACTTATATTCCCTAACCTGGATTCCATGGCTGCGCCTAAACATCCTGACCACTAAAGAAATATGTTAATCCTGATTTTTTTTAAGATTGGAGACATGTGGAAGCTCATAGCATATAATTTTATGGCTGTCTTGTTTTCCTTGGCATTTCTAACTTTATTTTCTTGAAAGAGAAGGAAGGCAGGCTGGGCCTGAGGAGCTGTGAGTACTAATCAGACATGCTTAGTTGTTTCTCTCTTGTTCCAGGCTGACTCACAAGCCATCTGTGCAGATATGTATGTAGTCATTCTCACACTGATCTCCATGTGGCAGCCAGTGCTGGATGACTGTACAGGACAACTGAGTTCTTAGATGGGTGAATGTCAGGGGCTAAAGTATTGAGAACAAAGGAACATAGGCATTAGAAAGCATATTCATCAAGGTGTCATTTCACAGGTTTAGAGTTCTAAAAATGTTTCCCAATAAGAAGTAGCTCCTGGAAATACCCTCTTGGAAACACAGTTCATTGTGTGTATGTATATATTTTCGGTGGTGGATGCATGAGCTCATACACACAGAAGTCAACCGCAAATATTCTCCAGGAGCTGTCTACCTTGTTCATTGAAACAAGGTTTTTCACAGGAGTCTAAAACTTGTCAATTAAGCTAGGCTGGTCAACCAGAAAACCCAGAGATCTGCCTGTCTCCACCTTCCCAGTGCTGGGAGAACAAGCATGCATCAGTCAGGCCCAACTTTTTACCTGGTTTATGGGGATTAAACTCAGATACCCATGTTTGAGCAGCAAGCAATTTAGCAACTAAGTCATCTCCCCAGCTCCAGAGATACAGACACTTACACTCACATACATTAGATCCACTGAGTCGGAAATGTGGAAGGTTAAGCCCAGGAACCTGTGCATCAGACAAGTCTCCAGCTCACTCTGATGCATGCTTACATTTGAGAACCACTAAGGTAGGTCAGCTAGTCCCAGTTAAGGCAGTTGGATGGAGTCTCAAAAGAGTCACATAGCAGGTTAGGAAAGAGAAGACATCTTTGGAAGGAAGAGGTCTTTGATTTCAAAATAGCCTGATTTAGAAATAGAAAAGCTATAAATGTAACTCCTTTCACATACACAATGAAAAGAAGCTTTAGCAAAAAGAGCACCATGTCAAGACTCTGGATCATTGCCCGAGAGCCTTGAAATTTTAAGATCAAGCAATTTATAGTGAATTGATTAATTTGTCTGCACATTCGTTTCATCACTGAAAATGAATAAATGGGACAAAGTCTACTCAAACACGCCTGGATTCTGTTTTCTATCAGTTCTGTAAAGATATTCACCATGGTATGTAATGAGCATCATATTGCTTCCTGCCTTCTCTTTCCAGTATAAAAGTGAGGCAGAAGTTTCCCAGCATTCTCTTTCCCTATGCTGTGTCTAGAGGAAAGTTTCCAAAAGATACTATAGTTCTCCACTCGAATTCCCTACTCCAGGAGTACACTTCAGCTCAA